TGGTGCCTGTTTCAAATGCTTCTTCTCATGACAAGTTTGATGGAGAGAAGCTTAAGTTTAATCTTGATGAGTCACCCATCTCTGAAGAATGGAAAGAGCGCATCACCACCAAGCTCAAGTCTATTTCAGAAGTGTTTGCGGTTGATGATCTGTCTTATGGTCACACCACTGTGGTAAAACACCACATTCGGCTGAACGATGACACGCCGTTTAAGGAACGGTCGAGGCCCATCCATCCAAGTGACAGAGAAGCTGTCAAGCAACACCTCAAAGAACTGCTTAATGCAGGGGTTATTAGGGAGTCAGAGAGCCCCTACGCATCTCCAATAGTAGTTGTGCGTAAAAAGGATGGTTCAATCAGGTTGTGCGTTGATTACCGCAAGTTGAACGCACGGACCATTAGGGATGCTTATGCCCTCCCAAACATTGAGGAGACCTTCACGGCCCTTAGTGGTGCCAAGTGGTTCTCGGTCATGGACCTCAAATCAGGCTATTATCAGGTTGAGATGGCCGAGGAAGATAAAGCTAAAACTGCTTTTGTCTGTCCTCTTGGGTTTTATGAGTTTAATCGCCTGCCTCAGGGCGTTACAAATGCCCCAAGTACGTTTCAACGACTGATGGAGAAGTGTGTTGGGGATTTGAACTTGAGTGAGGTACTTGTGTTTTTGGATGATCTGATTGTGTTTTCAGACACCCTGGAGGAACATGAGGTGAGACTCATGAGGGTGCTGAACCGGTTGAGGGACTTTGGGTTGAAGCTGTCCCCAGAAAAATGTCATTTCTTTAGGCCCTCGGTGAAGTACCTTGGCCATGTGGTTGATGCCCAAGGAGTTCACACAGATCCTGATAAGATCTCAGCTTTGAAAACATGGCCTCGTCCTACAAACAAGAGAGAGTTAAAATGTTTCCTAGGCTTTGCCGGTTATTACCGGAGATTCATTGATGGATACTCAAAGATCGCAAAGCCTTTAAATAGTCTCACGGCTGGTTACTACTCACCCAAAAAGAGGGGTAAAGTGTATCTTGGAGAACATTTCAAACAACCATCAAACATTAACTTACCTTTTGGAGAGGAGTGGACACCTGAATGTGAAAATGCGTTTAAGACTTTGATTGAGAGACTGACATCGGCACCTGTCCTTGCTTTTGCCAACCCAGAGCTACCATATGTCGTGCACACTGATGCCAGTCGTGAAGGCTTGGGTGCAGCGCTCTACCAAGAGCAGGACGGGAAGCTGAGAGCTGTGGCTTATGCAAGCAGAGGACTTTCCAAAAGTGAGAGAAACTATCCCACTCACAAGCTTGAATTTCTAGCTTTGAAGTGGGCAGTTTGTGAGAAGTTTAACAGCTACCTTTATGGCGCTAACTTCACCATTGTGACGGATAACAATCCTCTCACGTATGTACTGACATCTGCAAAGTTAGATGCTGCTGGTCATCGCTGGTTAGCTGCGCTGTCTACTTATCAGTTCACCGTTAAGTACAGGGCCGGTCATGCCAATCGCGATGCAGACGGGCTGTCCCGACGGCCACAAGCTCCTCCTTTTGAAGATGAGGATTTCATCAAAGAAAGGGAGAGAGTTGATGACATGAAAAACCGTCTTCTAGAGGTGAGCAACGAGATGAGTCACGAGGTGGTATCTGCCTTATGTCAACGCCATCTTGTGGTGTCAAAGATCGAGCACTGTTCAAATCTAGAACAACCTTTGGCTGTAGAGTCTCTTGCTGTTGATCCCTCAACAGTTGCGGATGTATTTGGAGAAGACACATTACCATCTATGACAAGCTCTGACTGGTATAAAGCTCAGAGGGATGACCCGGTTGTCTCACGTGTCATTACCTTCGTTGAAAGAGCTCAAAAGCCCAGCTTCAGAGAAACAAACCTTGAAGTTCTTGATGTTAGGCTCCTTCTCAAGGAGTGGAGAAGACTCGAAATGAGAGATGGAGTATTGTACAGGAAATGGACAAATAGAGACAACACTGTATGGCAGTTAGTCCTACCTGAACAGTTCAGAGGGAAAGCGTTGCGTGGAGTGCATGATGAAGTTGGTCATCTTGGTTTTGAACGAGCACTGCATCTTGCCCGTTCCAGATTCTATTGGCCAATGATGACAAAGTCTGTAGAAGAGAAGTGCAGACAGTGTCCACGCTGTGTCAGGAGGAAAGCAGTGCCTCAGAAGGCAGCGCCTCTTGAAAATATTATAGCAACTTACCCGCTTGAACTCGTCTGTATGGACTATTTGTCAGTTGAGCCAGACAACAGAGACACCCGGAACATATTAGTTATCACTGACCATTTTACGAAGTTTGCTGTGGCAGTGCCAACTAAAGATCAGAAGTCCAGGACCATTGCAAAAGCTCTGTGGGAGAACTTCATAGTTCATTATGGGTTTCCCAGTCGTCTACTCAGTGATCAGGGTAGAGACTTTGAATCTCACACAATCAAAGAGCTATGTGCGTTGATAGGAGCAGACAAAATCCGCACTACACCTTATCATCCTCGCGGAAACCCGGTGGAAAGGTTTAACCGGACGCTTCTTGATATGTTGGGTACGTTGGAAGAGGAAGACAAATCTCACTGGAGGGACTTTGTTAAACCCTTAGTTCATGCGTATAACTGCACGAGGAACGACACAACTGGTTTCTCTCCTTATGAACTGATGTTTGGCAGACAACCCCGACTACCCATTGATTTAGTCTTAGGTATCCAACCTGAAAATGCCAACCATAAGTCTCATTCAGAGTATGTGAACAACCTTCGTCAACGTCTGGAGGAGAGCTACACCCTAGCTGCAAAAAACTCCCAGAAGATCGGAGAAAGGAATAAAGTTAGGTTTGACAAGAGGATTAGAGTGGCCGAGCTCTGTGCAGGTTACAGGGTTTTGGTTAGGAACATGAGTATCAGAGGTAAACACAAAATCTCAGACAGGTGGGAACAGAAAGTACATGTTGTGGTTAAACGAATCAATGATGGCCCTGTCTATGTTGTGGAACCCGAGTTGGGAGACGGACCAAAACGCACCTTACACAGGGATCTCCTTCTACCGTGTGGGTTCTTACCTGTGGAAGAAATAGCAGGGAGCAGATCTCATGGGTCCTCTAAAGGGAAGAAACTGAGAAACAAAGCCGAAAGAGAAGTACAATCTTCTGATAACCCTGATGGTCAGGAAGATGAGGTATACAGTGATGAGGACGAAGTGTATCCAGCTTTTGTGGTTCCAGAAATAATAACCAGAGGTCCTTTTATCCAGACTGAAAGGCAGGTTATCACACCTCAGCTGTCCACTGGGGATGTGCATTCTAGGTTGCCCCGTGCAGAGCCACAAGACGAGTCACACGCACGAGAAACACCCAGTCATGTTTCTGAACCTGAGCCTTTGTTACACTCAGAAAGCAATGAGGTGACCACATCTCCCATTCCATCTGATGAAGGTCCAGGTTGGGTTGTTATTGACATTCCTGAACAAACAGAATCTGTTGAAATGAATCAAGAAAGCAGCGACACTGCTGAGCAGAGTTCAGAGCCAGAGACAGTAGAGTTGCGGCGTTCTGGGAGAGAGAGACGCCAACCTCGTAAACTAACTTATGATGAGTTAGGTGAGCCTTTAATTTTGGCTCTCAGTTCCTTTTTGTCAGAGTTTCGCAATTGTATTCTCTCAGAGCACTTTCCTTCACACACCTGTTAAGTCAAGTGTGCATGCAGAGACTCATGCACTTTAGAGGGGGAGAGTGTAACCCAGATCATTGTTTGAGTATGGGATTTCTGATTATTTGTGGTTACTGAACGCACCACTGTGCCGTGCGCATAGCCACTCTCTAGTCCAGCTACAGAGTTTTTCCTTCCGTTCGTCCGATGAGGCGCATGCTGCTCTCGTGCCCTCTACGAGCTGGAAATTCGGGTACAGTAGACATTTGAGTTGCTGTAAATAGTTTTAAAAAACCTTTATATGTGAAGCTAATGATTTAATATGTTGTTAGGAAAAAGTCTTGTAGCGGTTACAAACGTGAAGCGGAGCTGAGTCCGACAGCATTCGCCATTACACGAACTCCTCTGGTGAGTTAGCGTGCAGCTCATGTTCGTATGAAATGTTTTGTGCCTTATTATATTGCAGCGAGGTATCAAATCTACTGCTGTCATGTTGTTAAGAAAGAGGCTAAATATTGTATAACGTGTGTTATTGGCTGACTGTTAGCAAGCTAGCCGTTAAGTGAGCCTAGCTAATGTCCTGAAATGGCGGCCGACACGAGGTCAGTTACAGTGTTATTATGTTATGCCTAAGAGAACAGCATTAATAAGCATTGTTAACAGCATTTATGTTCTGTTATATTTTTATTTTGACAAACCTGTATTATTATAATGGTAAGTCTGTTAAATAAGCCGTTAGTGACATGGACACTGAGTCAGTGGTACTGAGACTTATGAACATTTCAGTTAATTCTTCTGCACACTTGTGTGTAGGCTGGTTTGTTTGCCCTTTTGGTGCCCTGGATCCTACTGGATGAACTGCCTTGTGGAAGTCCTCATCTGATGACTCTGCCGAACCGTCCTGGCAAATAGATGGTCGTTGCTGCTTGCTGGATGCTATTATTGGATGCTACACCGTTCCAACAGAGCGGTAGGAACAATTCAAAGGGCCCAACGATGCGCTCTATTTTTCCCTGAGCTCAGGTGATTTTCTTTTGGCCAAAGAACCTTAAAGGATACATATTTGATTTTGTTTATTTATTTGTTTTATTTTTCTTATGACACTGAGTGGAAAGACACTACAAAAAAAGGGGTTTATTATTTAAAATTGTGTCAAATAAATGTGTTTATGCTAAGTAAGTGTGGTGTCCATTGTGTGCTGGAAGCCTTATTGTTCCTGTGGTGGAGCAGCTACTACCAATCTCCTTTACGGAACTAGCTTCTGACAGGATACAGGTATTTGGGATACATTTGATTTCTTGTAACCTATTTTTAGAGAAACTGTGATTCTGGGTTAAACATCGGGGTGAAATTGATGACACTGACACCTAGTGAACTGCCCAAGGTCAACAGTCCTGATTTCCACGCATTAAAGGTTTGGCGTAAGTACAGATTGCGTTACACAAGCACAGTCATGATGCTAGTCTACACTCTGCCTTCCACACAGGGGAACCTGACAAGTTTTACTTGTTAGATTTATCATTAGCTCAATCTCACATGAACATTCATTCATCTTTTTAATTCAAATACACAACAATACTTTTTTTTTTCTAAACACTGTGTCTGTCAATTACAATAACCCCATTTCCTTAGATCACACATGTTAAACTCATTCTCTTAGATTAGTGGCTCCCACACTCCCCCCTCCCATCATTCTTACATAAACTCACAGCTTCCAAGGCCTTCTCCACACACACTCAGTGAGAGTCTAAGAATCATTATTAGATTTTCTCATTCTTTGTACTGGATAAACCTGAACATGATATTCTGATCAGTATTAACCAATCAAGCTGTCAGCAGGGTCACATATGAATTATGATTTGGTGTTTAACAATTACAACATACGTAAAACCATTTCTCTTATTCAGAATCTCGTACAGTGATTGGTTGGTCAGACTTTTTTTGTCACATTGCAGCAATCACACACAGACACTAATCAGGCCAAGCTCAAAGCTGGATCGTGTCTATAAACACAAAAAATAGATATTGTAATAGTTTTAATTACTCAAACTGTATTTGACATTCAGCATATTATTTAGACTTATATGTTAATTATAACCTTAATTTAGAATAAAGATGATTTACTATTAGCAAGAGCGCTCTGAAAATTTTTAATGAAAATATTTAGTTTAATTTTTACTTCAAGAAAGTTGATAATTTAAAAGATGTTAAATATAAACATGTCTTCTTTGTTTCCCTGTGAACCAGCTGTGTTTCACAGGCTGTTTGTGTTCAGAGTCAGAGAGCTGTGTCTCTCTCCAGTCAGAGGTTTTTGTACGACCACTCAGTCAGTTTGTATCACTGTGGTGGACTTTCGGTGGAGGAACCAGGCTGGATGTTGGAAGTAAGTCAAATTTTGTGGTTATTTTATTATTTCAAGAGTAATCGTTTGTTTGAAGGATCTACATTGAACTCTATAAAGTAAAATTTTAAAGAATTTTAAAGTCTACAACTTTGTTGGAAGTAAGTTTGTGCTCAAATGTCAAATCATTGAACATCATTTTCCTGTGAGCTGAACTCAGTCACATCACATTTTTGTTTCGCTCCTTTACTGAACCTGTCCTCACGTGTTCCATTTTTAAACAGGAACAATTTAAAGGATTAAAGAAAATGTACTCTTTAAACCTGCTGCAGAATTAAAAGGACTCAGGACAGTGTGACTGGAGATCATTTCTTAGTGTTTCTGACACATCTGTTAGTTTTAAAAATGTCCCACTTTGTCTTTGACCTCAGTTTGAAACTGTCTGAGAATATTTATCTTGTTTAAATCTGGCTTATGTTGAAATATTCTGACGGGTTCGGTTTAGCAGATAACGTCTTTATCAGTGAAATGATCAGCTGGTGATAGTTTAACAGTAATTATGATTGTAGAAATGCACCAAATGAAATGATTAAAATGTTGAATGTAAATAACTGAATATTTGTTCAAAGTGTGTTATATTTTGTATTAAACACTAAAACCATGCAGATAATTAGAAGTTGATGCTGAAGATAATTACTGAGATGCTGTGTAACAGTTTGGCCCCAGTGCAGTTTGTTGAGCTTCAGGTCACATGAGGACTGTGAGTGCGCTGATGTGCATGACAGCTTTGTTAAAGGGAAGTGAAACACTGTGTGAGTGAGTGACTGGTGGAGCAGAAAAACATCTGTCAGAAAGTCCTTAAAGGAGAAGATCTGCTCTCACACAGTGAAGGCGTTACTGCCAGCTGTGCCGTGTGCTCCCTGTCCTCTAAGCTGATTGGTGTCTCCTAGGTGACGCTCGTCCCACCCTGACGGTGCTGCCCCCCTCCAGAGAGGAGCTGCAGCAGGGGAAGGCCACGCTCATGTGCCTGGCCAACAAGGGCTTCCCCTCAGACTGGAGTCTGTCCTGGAAGGTGGACGGCAGCAGCAGCAGCAGCTGGGAGGAGGGCAGGAGCCCAGGGGTGCTGCAGGAGGACGGCCTCTACAGCTGGAGCAGCACCCTGAGGCTCCCTGCAGACCAGTGGGAGAAGGTGGGCTCTGTGACCTGTGAGGCCACCCAGGGCTCCCACACTTCTCTCTCACAGACACTGAGGAGAGACCAGTGTTCCCAGTCCTGAGCTGACTCTCTCTCTTTTTCTGTCACTCGTCTTTGTTTTGTTCATCATTTCACTGTTTGACACAATAAAGATTCATTCAAAGAAACTCTCGTTCCACTTCTGCCCTTTTTAACTGAGCTTAAATTTAAATTTTTTAGTTCACCGTTATTCATACAGGTAGTCCCACTTGTACAGCATCAGAGTCTGAATGCGAAATGTTTCAGAAAAACATTAAAGTTACAACAATAAAAGAAACACCAAAGTACCTCAAACTGTTTAATATTTAAGAAGTTCCCAGTGTTCAATCACACATTGTTGTCAACTCTTAATGATGACATTAAAATAACTTGTTGTTATAGAGACTGAGACCCCCACGGCCTCATCCACCTGCGACTGTCTAAATAAGGCTGATAGGTGGTGCAGAGTTCAGAAACACACATGTGATTGTACTGGTGTTCATTTGACTTTAACACACTATTATAATATTTAATGAGAATTATCCGATGCTCAGAAATGAGTGGGAGGAGTCATTCTGTGGTACGATCCTGTAATAGTAGATGTCACTGTTTTTATAACAGCACGTGGATAAAACGTGCTTTCATCATTAAACAACATCTTTAATTTCCTATATAAAAGTCTACAATGTAAACAATAAAAAACATCCATACTTAATGTTTTAGTATTTGTAAATGGCCTGCATTTGTGTTATTAAAATGATCATCAACAGAATTTTTCAAAACTGACTTAGAAAGTTCAGTTTTTGTTAAACTGAAATGTGTTAGTATAACCTGATGAGCTGCACAGTGTTTGTTTCCTTCACAGCGAAGTTAGTCTTTAGTCTGAGTGCAGCTGTTGAGACTGTTCCTCTAAAGCTGAGGGAGGTTTTTGTACGGCGCTGTATCGCTGTGTGAACAAGTTGCTACCCTGCTGACAGTAATAAACTCCTGAATCTTCAGCCTGGACTCCTCTGATGCTCAGAGTGAAGTCAGTACCAGATCCACTTCCACTGAAACGATCTGAAACTCCAGACTGACGATTTGTAGCTTTATAAATCAGGAGTTTAGGAGCTTTGCCAGGTTTCTGAAGGTACCAGTGAAGCCAGTCACCAACACTTGTACTGGTTCTACATGTGATGGAGACAGACTGCCCTGCAACCACAGACTGAGCTCCAGGAGACTGAGTCACGATGATTTGTCCTGATGAACCTGGAAAAGATGGAAAAAAGGAGAAGGGTTACTGAGACAAATCCAGCGTGGAGAAAGATGATCAGCATCCAAACAGAAGATGGAGAACAGATGGAAGAAGGTCACTGCTGCTGGTTTCAGAGCCACGCGCTCACAGAGAGTCTCACCCTGAACAAGGAGCCCCAGGGTGGCCAGCAGTAGAGTCAGTGACATCATCATTGTGCTGCCGGCGTGTCAGTGTCTCTGAAAGGCCTGGACAGACACTGATCAACACTGGCCTCTTAAGGGCTGTGAGCAGAGGCAGGACACGTATGCAAACACACAGAGTCAGTCAGCTGGAGCCGTCCTCAGCACATCACCACCTTTCCTTCTCACTCGTGGCTCTACTCGCTGTTTTTCTCATGCAAACTATGATATTACCTTCACAGTTTTACATATTCCAGAATTAGTTGGTCGCAAAGATAGAACATTTTTAAACTAAGCAGTCTGGTACGATGGCAGCGTTCACACTGCCGGTGACTTGATTGCAGTCAGAAGTGAAGGCTGATTGGAGTCTCCACCTGAAGGTGGAGCCCAGTGCTATGAAAAATCCCACACTCAACAGGCCCATGACAACATGATAACAGTGGGTGGATTATATTCTTAAACTTAGTTACAGCGCTTTCAGAAAGACATCTACTGTGATAAAGTCTACTCTCCACTGCTGTGTAATCAATGATTGTAAATGTTATCAGGAAATGATTAGGCAGGAGAGGGTTTTCAGGAAACTAATAACAGAAACACACATGTGATTGTACTGGTGTTCATTTGACTTTAACACACTATTATAATATTTAATGAGAATTAACAGATGCTCAGAAATGAGTGGGAGGAGTCATTCTGTGGTACGATCCTGTAATAGTAGATGTCACTGTTTGTATAACAGCATGTGGATAAACGTGCTTTCATCATTAAACAACATCTTTAATTTCCTTTATAAAAGTCTACAATGTAAACAATGAAAAACATCCATACTTAATGTTTTAGTGTTTGTGTTATTAAAATGATCATCAACAGAATTTTTCTAAACTGACTTAGAAAGTTCAGCTTTTGTTAAACTGAAATGTGTTAGTATAACCTGATGAGCTGCAGGGTCTTTATCAGTGAAATGATCAGCTGGTGATAGTTTAACAGTAATTATGATTGTAGAAATGCACCAAATGAAATGATTAAAATGTTGAATGTAAATAACTGAATATTTGTTCAAAGTGTGTTATATTTTGTATTAAACACTAAAACCATGCAGATAATTAGAAGTTGATGCTGAAGATAATTACTGAGATGCTGTGTAACAGTTTGGCCCCAGTGCAGTTTGTTGAGCTTCAGGTCACATGAGGACTGTGAGTGCGCTGATGTGCATGACAGCTTTGTTAAAGGGAAGTGAAACACTGTGTGAGTGAGTGACTGGTGGAGCAGAAAAACATCTGTCAGAAAGTCCCCGCAGAAGGCCACGCTCATGTGCCTGGCCAACAAGGGCTTCCCCTCAGACTGGAGTCTGTCCTGGAAGGTGGACGGCAGCAGCAGCAGCAGCTGGGAGGAGGGCAGGAGCCCAGGGGTGCTGCAGGAGGACGGCCTCTACAGCTGGAGCAGCACCCTGAGGCTCCCTGCAGACCAGTGGGAGAAGGTGGGCTCTGTGACCTGTGAGGCCACCCAGGGCTCCCACACTCCTCTCTCACAGACACTGAGGAGAGACCAGTGTTCCCAGTCCTGAGCTGACTCTCTCTCTCTTTCTGTCACTCGTCTTTGTTTTGTTCATCATTTCACTGTTTGACACAATAAAGATTCATTCAAAGAAACTCTCGTTCCACTTCTGCTCTTTTTAACTTGCACAGATTGAGATCCTTTCACAATAAACACAGTTGTTCTTCACTCAGGGGTTTCAAACTCGTGGCCCGGGGGCCACTTGCTGCCCATATATTGACGTGAAGAAATAAAATGCAGTTTGTCCCTTGAAGGGACTTTTTTGTTTGTTGTTAAGTGCAAAGTTCTTTAAAAAAACAAAAATGATTTAATATGACTGCAACATGAGCAGAGAGTACAAACATGCTGAGGTTCAGTGACTAATGTGTTCACTTATGTCTGCATTTTGATTCTGTTAAGTACGAACACAATGACAGCAGACGTACTGCTACATGTCTGCAGACAGAGGACCAATGACTTTATTTGGCAGTTCAATGAAAGGCTTCAGTTAGTTAAGAAGGAGGAAAAAGAATACCATACCATACCATACCACCTTTATTTATAAATCACTTTAACATAAAACCAGAGTTCACAAAGTGCTGTACATGCTAAAAGCATAAGTAAAGAAAATTAAAATGAGATAAGATAAAATAAATAACTAAAAAACTCAAATAAATTGAAACATGTCAAAACAAATTGAGTCAACCCCTCTAATCAATGCCAAAGGCTTCAGCGAATAAATATGTTTTAAGAAGACTTTTAAATTCAGAGAGAGAAGAGGCCTGCCTAACATGCAAGGGTAGATCATTCCACAACTTTGGAGCAACTACAGCAAAAGCACGATCACCTTTAGATTTATACTTAGTTTTTGGTACCTTAAGGAGCTGCTGATTGGCAGGCCTAAGGGAACGGGGAGGTGTATATGGTTGTAGTAGCTCCGAGAGGTAGGGGGGGGCCAGGCCATTAAGAGATTTAAAAGCAAATAAGAGAATTTTAAAAACAATCCTAAAATGTACAGGTAGCCAGTGGAGTGAAATTAAAATTGTGTTCATGTTATACAATATACAATATACAATATACAATATGTGAATCTGTGTTCATGTTATACAATATTCAAATAAAAAAAACAACCAAACAAAACACTTTTTGGAAATATTTGTGTTCTTTCTTTCTTCTTCTTCTTCTTTTTTTTGTACTACTTGAACACTAAAGTGGCCGTCCAATAAGACGACAGTGTCAGCTTTGGCCCACGGCTCATTTGACACCCCTGATCTTAAATGAAAGCACAACTATGTCAGTTTTCTTTTATTTATAACTTACAATCCTACGTTCCAAAATCATTTCACTCACCTGCATTCAGACCATGTTAACATTTATTATCGCTGCCACTGAAATCTTCCTCCTTACATATTCTCAGAGTCTGGAGGAAAAACCAAAGCACTCAGTGTATTTTATACTGAACTTTTTCAGAGCACACAACATAACGAGTCTGCTGGTACTGAAACCTGTTGTGGACATTTTCAGTTCTTAAAAATAACGTCTGGGAGTAGCGACACACATGCAAACACAGAGTCAGTGAGCTGTAACTGTCCTCAGCACATCACTGATGAAACTTTTGTCAACATATATTTTCTTCCTTTCACAGAAAACTCATCCCTGTTCTCAGTTCAACACTACTTACTTATCTTTGATATTTACCTCACGCTCCATTCATCCTTCATCGAATACATGAAATATGTAGCGACTTAAAAATATCTCACAATGTGTAAGTAAAACGTAAAGGATGTTTTATGTTAGCGTCCATGTTTCAGGACTCTCTGTGTCCTGTGTCCCCTCGGGTTACCCCTGAGAATGAGACCCTCACTTGCACCATTGGCACTCTCACCTGGGAAATAGACACAATCCAGCAAACCCTGATGACAGAACCTGATCCTGACTGTAATGTCATCTGCAAACTTAAGGTTTTGACACACTTGACTTTTGCTGTGCAGCCATCTGTGTAGGACACCTCCACTGGGTTGCCACTGCAAATTTTCCAGGTGCTGGATGTGCCTCACCAGTGATCCACTGACAGATGGAGGCTGGGACAGTGAGCTGGGTAGTTTGGAGTTGAGCTGAAGTCCACAACCTGATCCTATTACAGATCCTATTACGTGTACCAGGGCAGTCAAGGTGTTCCAGCTTGAAGTGCATTCCTGTGCTGACAGCATCATCCACTGACCTGCACCAGGGAGCGTGTGATGTTTGCAGATAGGTCAACACTCATGTCTTTACTACAGACGTCAGGGCAACATGTCTGTCATTAATTAACAGAGTGTTTCTTGGGGAAAGATGATTGTTAGCTGAAAACCCATTTTTAGTGTTTCAGTGTAGCGCCTCTTTGCTACCCTGATCTCCTTTGTCAGTATGTTTCTGGCCTGGGTATACAGGACTCTGTGCCCACGCCTGTAGGCGGCATTATCCCTGAATTTTCCTGTAAACCAGGGTTTGTTGTTATTGTATACGCAGAAGGTTTTAGGATGTCACAGTGTCAGTGATGTTGTCCAGGTGTGCCTCAAAAACACTCCACTTCCTGCATTGTCTCACAGCACAAGGCCAGGCAGGCGCCTGTGGCACTTTTATTTTGACTGCATTGTTTATGGTTGTGTATTGTAAACTGCAGTATATTTACTCTTTATCATGCTGCTGCATGCATACAAATGTCCATTTTATTTGCAATAAACCAAAAACAAACAAACAAACAAGCTAAAAACGCAAAACAAAATGCAGGTACACAGTGAAAGACCAGATGTCCCAGTTTCACACTGGAACTTGAAAGCAGCTTACATTTGTGGATCTGTGTGGCTGTGGCGGAAACCCCCACGTGGGCATGTGACGTGATCTGTGCATGTCGGGCGATTGGTGCACATCTAAGGTTTTGTGAGTGAGGACATGTTTAGACATTTGTGTGCATAGACAGGTTTGTGAAAGAGAAAATGATCAGATTTGTGAGGCTGAACTTCATAAATTGTGTGTAAATGATCAGTATTTCTGCACCCACTGAACTACTACTGTAAAGACCAGAAAGGATGCACCAGTTAAAATAGAAGCGCCCATGTTAAATCATTGGTGGACAGATAGAGCTGGGTGTCATCTGCATAGCAGTGTAAATGTATGCTATTTCTTCTAATGATGCTGCCTAAGGGAAGCATGTATAATGTAAACAGAATTGGTCCTAGCACTGAACCCTGTGGAACTCCATAATTAACCTCAGTGTGTGAAGAGGACTCTCCATTTACATGCACAAACTGGAGTCTATTAGATAGATATGATACAAACCACTGCAGTGCAGTACCTGTAATACCTACAGCATGTTCTAATCGCTCTAATAGGATATTTTGGCTATATTAGCTGTTACGCCCCAGTCTAGGGGTACAGGAACGCAACATAAGTTTGAAAAGACTGCCCCGCCCTGGTCCCCAAAACCATACACAGAGGGAAACCAATTCCTTAGTGAATCGTGTTTTATTATCTACACTGCAAAAATGAAGCTCCAGGGTGAACAAAGGCCAAAATAACAAACAAAACAAGCTAAGTCAGGAGGAGGTGCTATCTAAAACCCTATGTGAAATCAAACATCAAACAAAAGACAAGCGCTACACCTAACTCCCTAACTGAAATAAACAGGAGAAAACAGTGCAAGGAAAAACAATACGGCAGCTCACCCCTTCTGTTGCAGTGCTATTTACAATGTGCTATTTACAATGAAAGCTAATATACACACTATATACAAAACTCAGAAAGGCCCAAAAATCACAGGCACACAAGTCTCAGGTTTTGGAGGCCAGGGTCAGGTCTGCTGCTGCTGTCAGTAGCTGCCCCAGGACAACTGCTGGTGAGGGATTTGAAGAGGATCACATGGCCAGGGGACCAATCAGCAGCCGTCAGCTCATCCACTCCGGGACCTGCAAAACTTAAAGGCACAGACAACAACAGCCACCAAAACAGATTATGGACAGGGCCATAACATAGCTAAGACACTGAAAACTTCCTCCCGAACAGAAAAAGTCCCTTCAAGGGACAAACTGCATTTTATTTCTTCGCGTCAATATATGGGCAGCAAGTGGCCCCCGGACCATGAGTTTGAAACCCCTGAGTGAAGAACAACTGTGTTTATTGTGAAAGGATCTCAATCTGTGCAAGTTAAAAAGAGCAGAAGTGGAACGAGAGTTTCTTTGAATGAATCTTTATTGTGTCAAACAGTGAAATGATGAACAAAACAAAGACGAGTGACAGAAAGAGAGACACTTGCAGAGGAAAACCAGCGAGTCAGCTCAGGACTGGGAACACTGGTCTCTCCTCAGTGTCTGTGAGAGAGGAGTGTGGGAGCCCTGGGTGGCCTCACAGGTCACAGAGCCCACCTTCTCCCACTGGTCTGCAGGGAGCCTCAGGGTGCTGCTCCAGCTGTAGAGGCCGTCCTCCTGCAGCACCCCTGGGCTCCTGCCCTCCTCCCAGCTGCTGCTGCTGCTGCCGTCCACCTTCCAGGACAGACTCCAGTCTGAGGGGAAGCCCTTGTTAGCCAGGCACATGAGCGTGGCCTTCCCCTGCTGCAGCTCCTCTCTGGATGGGGGCAGCACCGTCAGGGTGGGTGCAACTTGTCCCACTGGAGGAGGACACAGAGAGACAATATGAAGAAATTTCATGCAACAAGAAGAGAACCTCCACCCTGTTGGCTGCAGCTGGGGAGGCTGCTGGTTCTGGTCTTCAGTGTTTCACTTCCCTCTCTGAGCTCACTAATCATTTTTCAGTTCAATCTACTTTTACAACAACAGTCGCCTCAAGGCGCTTTATATTGTAAGCAGGGAAATCTCAGTTTAGTTTCATGAACAAAGTCAAATGGAGATTTACAGGTATCACTGCTAAGCATGACCACAGGCTCACCTCAACATTTAGATATCCTTTAAAGCCTCTAAGACGTTTTACATCTCCAATAAACATACTAGTGTAGCATGTGCTTCAATCAGTCACATTATGATGTTAGAATGAGGATGTTACGTCATTAAAAAGGAAGACTGAGGACAACACGTGCAAAGATTCCCAGGAAAAATCTTTACACGCTCTTTCTTTGGTCATTATTATGAAAAATATCATTTAATACTATAATATGTTTTCTTTGAGTCACATTTTTTAATCTAATCTTTGTGGACAGAATCATGAACTAAAGCAGCGTCTCCAATAACTAACAGTATTTTCTAATAACATTATAATTTATGGTTATATACACACTGTGAAAATGACCAAACAGAGAAAAACGAGTTTCTTCATCAAACTAAATATCATCTGCAAAATTATTTAAAAATCAGAAAATAAACCCCAATTTTTTAACCTTTTCAGCAAAATAATCTCGATTAATTTCATGTAGAAGTCAAAGAAACTTACAGTCAACATCCAGCCTGGTTCCTCCACTGAACGTGTGCCACAGTGATACAAACTGACAGAGGCGTCGTACAAAAACCTGTAGAGACACGGCTCTCTGACTCTAAACACAAACAGTCTGTGAAACACAGCTGCTACAGGGAAATCCACTCAGAGTGACAGAAATCACAACAAGAAGAATTAGTTTAATTTAGTCTTTCCTTTCTCTTTTCAGTTTTATGTAAAAAAAGGTATTTAAAGTTCATTGCTGCACATTAATTGTTGTTTGCTTCTTTTTTTGAAGCCAAACCAGTCAAACGGTACTTTAGAGGCTGTTTGTCTTGACCAGTGTTGGATAAGTTACTTTTTAAAAGTAATTAATTACTAATTACTTAATCAATATTGTATTTAAAATACTTATCTAATTACTGTGTCTGAAAAGTAACTTAATTACTCAATAAGTAATTTAACTAAATACTTTTTAAAATCCCTATAAACCTTGAGTGGACAAACAATAGAAATTAAACTCTTTAAATAATAAAAAAAAAATTTTTAAAGATGGAGACTGAGTACGCAGCGGTAGCATCTCTTCCACAGTGTAGCCTTCAATCATTTTTAAGCTCACCTTCAGACACTTTCTGTGCTGCTGAAGTAAAATCAGGTTTTGCTGCTTAGCAGGAGTTCCCGCGGTGTTATCCATGGATGATGAACAAGGATCACTAAGAAGTGTTCGTCTATGCTCTGTGTCAGGTGCTTCAGTAGATTAGTCCTGCTATTAACAGCAGCCGATAGTTTTAACATATTACTGTAATGTTCTTGTCTGCTTGTTTCAGAAAAGTGAAGAGACGGGAATATGTCCATGTCATGAAACAGCCACTCGCTTCAGCCGAGTCCGACAGCTTCCGCTGTAGAATACGACTGTGCAGCAAACTGCCGCGAAATGACGCGCAGCTGCACTACAACGATGTTAAAGCGGTAGAATTTACTTTTACCTTTAAAAGATAAATTATTGAAATTAAATAATGATATTCAGCGAGTTTAATTATTTTAAAATGTAACGCAAGTACATTGTAAGTAACTGTAATTAAAATACCTAAAAATGAACAGTAATCAGTTACTCTACTTTTTCAGTGGAAAAGTAATTTGATTACAGTAATGCGTTACTTAATAATGCGTTACACCCAACACTGGTCTTGACCTTATGTAAAGGACCTCCACAGTTACTGATGCCCACACTGGCGGCGCCTTGAGCATACACCGGCTGATAGCGCTCGAGCAAAATTCAGTGTTTTTTTTTCTATGGTGTGTCGCGACCAAAGAACAATGCACACCAACCACAGCAGACAATAAAGCGGGGGGCAGCCGGCTGAAACGCAAGTGCTACACACGTAAACAAAAGCGAGGAAAGCATTCCAGTGCTAGCGCTAGGCTAAAGGCTAACCCGTTCCGACCAGCACTTCCATCCATCCTGCTCTCCAACGTTCGCTCCCTGGACAGTAAAATGGATTATCCGTGGCTCCAGCACTCGACCCGGCTTGAGTTAAGAACTGTTGTTTTCATCCTCACAGAAAAATGGCTGAATGCGGATATTGCTGACTTGGCTATCCAGCTAACCGGCCTAGCATGTTATCGAGCCGATAGAGAAGCCTCCTTGTCTGGTAAGAGCCGGGACAGTGGTCTGTGCATCTACATTGACTGTGGGGCACGAATTTGGATGAAGTGAGTTGCCACTGCTCACCACAGGTGGAGTTTCTAATAGTAAAGTGTCGCCCATTCTATCTACCAAGAGAGTTTTCCTCGACACTTATTATAGCAGTGTATTCCCACCAAATGCTAATGCCAATTGGCACTAGCAGAACTGTCTCGTGATATCAACGAGCTCCAAAAGGCGCAACCGGCGACTTCAAACATGCAAACCTCAAGACAGTCCTCACCAAATTGCAACAAGATATGAACTTCCCAACCAGAGGGAACAACTGCCTGGATAAAGTTTACACCAACATGTGCGGGTCCTACAAGGCAGCTGTGCACACATCGGCTCACCTGACCATGCCACTGTAGATGCTGCTGCTGCTGCTCATGTACACATCACTGCTGAAACGCACAAGACCAGCCAGGAAAACCATCAGAGTCTGGCCGAGTGGGGCTGTCTCAGCGCTTCAGGACTGCTTCAAGTGCACAGACTGGAACATGTTTAAAGAGGCAGCCACCCAAAATGGCTTCTTATACCTGGACAAGTTCACTGAATCTGTGACCTGCTACATCAGTAAGTGCACAGAGGATGTAATGGTCTCCAAAAACATCACCACAAGAGCCAGTGAGAAGCCCTTGTTTATATTATGCTAACATAGCTGTGTCGCTAGCGGTCACGTAGCACATCATTATATACCAGCTAGCCAAACTTCAGTAACCCTACAAACGTTACTGCTGTTTAGTTTTCTGTCTTCATTTATGCTGGAAGTGATAACAGAGCTGTACGTTTTAATTTGTTTCCAAAACCCCGCAGTCAGGACATGCTATATTGTATTTAGATAGAAGCTAGCGAGCTAACTCCCTGCTAACTTCTAACTCCGTTAAATGTCATAAATTCCGTTTTCATGAATGCCTGGATGTTAAACTCGATTGTTACACCTGGTAGAGCAGAACGCTGATCATTTTATTAAAGATGAAAGACTTTAGACAGTTTTTCAACTCTCAGTAATGCCATAGTGATCGTTTGATATATGGACCTGCAGCGGAGTTTAGGTCCAGACACGGCTAGTGACGTCAGACTGAACAACCGGATACCTTTCTGATGTGACCTTGTTGTCCCTGGCTCTCTTTCTCTCTCCCTCCCGCTCTGTTCCTGTGCTACTGTGAGTGTAACTACCGCCTCTCCCCCCTCTGCCCAGCGCAAAGCTTGTTATCTTTTTACAAAAAAAACAGCTGAACATGAGAGGTTTTTGGACAAAGTTTGTGTGCACCATTCTCTAAGCACCAGTTCGAGCACCGTTTAACCCTTTAAGACCTACCATAGAACCAAGTCCGCCAGAGCTTATATTATTTTTTTACCTGCTGTGGAGCCATTTTTGGGAGCATTTCAAGTTGCTATACATCAATACAACCATTATAGCCCAAACTTTAATAATATGTCTGCATTAGGTGCATAGTAATTACATAAATTGCAAAAAAGTGCAATAAACTACAAAAAAATTGAAAATCGTTTTTGTTTTTTTAACACATATTTCTAGTTAGAGAAATTTAAGAGGCTTATCCCTCAAAACTGTAAATACAAAAAAGTTGCACAAACTAGTTTCCCACCACAGGAAATTTATTTTAAGTGTCTTCATAGTTTTATTTTTGAAATACACCAATTTTTATATACTGCAGGAAAAACGAAAATAAATATTATAGTGCAAATTTGCAAAATAACAGCATATGCATCAAAATAAACTATTTCCAGCAGTGCAATCTGAGTCCTAAGCATCCCAGAAACGACACAGAAAGTCATGAAGTCAAACATAACTTTTAAAAACACAAATATAAGCTCTTGAGGCCACGATGGTAAAAAAAAACTACATTTCCGCAAAATGACGTCACTTCCGGTTTCGGGCAGGTCATGCGGTCATGTGATAGTTCGCCCTGATGGACGTAGGAAGTGTTACAAACAGCTGATCGGATCGGCGAAGCGTGTTTCTGGAATATCATGTTTTTGTTGCTGCAAGTGATTTTTATGCAGTTTTTGCAAAGCTATAAGTGGAAGGAAACTGTGACCGAGGACAAGCTGATGGCATAAGATGTAAGTACAACTCCTCCAGTTTCATATGCAAAAAAAATGATTGCGCTAGCTTACGTGGTTGCAGAGCTACCGGGATTTAAAAATAGTTACGCAAAACGGAGCGTGCCCGCTCCGATCGGCTGTAAAGGGTTAAGCACCAGCACAGTTTCAAAAGTACCGGCTTGGCACCGGTATTGGATAAAACCTAAACGATACCCATCCCTACTCATCAGCAGCAATGACGAGTCGGCGTACAGAGATGAGGGACATTAACGAACTCTATTGGACTCCGCACACCGCTGCCTTTGTAAATACAGATGCTGCTCTATGGTCAGTCCTACTCTCAGGAATCCTACTCATGTTGATCACTTTATTTCACACTGTAAACTGTAAAGCTGCTACGTTGGTCATTTCAAACCACTTCAAAGTCACTTTAAATCTCAATTGTAAAGTTTAGACTGTTATTAACTCTTTTACCTCATAGTGTACATTTACTCCCCTTACCTCAGTCTCAAAGTGTACGGTTAATCTTACTCTTTCTATATTTATTGTTGTTCTTTTGCACTGAATGGAACTGGAGCCTCGTTGTCTCGTCTCTCTATAGCAGAGATGACAATAAAGTTTACTTTGACTTTCTACCAGGATCGGTGCTTAAATGGTGAATGCACTGGTTCTTCTACTCCAGGGGAACTTAAAGCGCTTTGTACAACACGCCTCACTTACACATTCAGACGATGCTGAAGTGCTTTCACACACATTCATACTCCAGTGTGTGACCACGAACCTTCAGTTGGTAGCAGGTTGTTCTACCTGCTGTGCTATTGCCACCCACTTCTTCTTTGTTTGTGTACTCTTGCTCTGCCCTGGTCATCACACAGAGATCCCACTGTGTGCTGGTAACACAACATCCAGAACACAAAGAGCCACAAAAGAACACAATTACACAGGCTCAAGTTAGATTTTACCAAAGCGCTAACTGTGTTCATCTCAAAGTGACCATTGAGTAGGTCTCTATTCAATCTGTCTCTCAGTTTTCACACTTTACAATATCATGCAAGTAGAGCTGGGCGATAGAACGATAACGATAGTATCGCGAAATAACTTTTTCTCAATAGAAAAATTAAACTATTGCGATAGACCTCGCCGCTCTTGTCGTCTTAAAAAAAAAGAACAGCCAATCCAAATTAAATAGTGCAGAGCCGAACCAATCACAGCCGCAGCGTCACGTCACGTGACTTGTTACGTACAGCACAAGTGCCAAGCCGCACATGTGTATTTGGGAAGCAGCCAGCCGCCGTGCCGCCCGGTAATGGAGGAAATGAGTGTGCCGACTAGAGAAAGATCAACCGAGAGCGTGACCGAAGGTTACCGAGGAGAAAACAGATGATGGTTCCAACGCCGGAGAGATTGTCGAACGGAAGAGCCAGAGAAGCTCCGTAGTGTGAAGGTATTTCTGCTATTTCAAGTCTGACAAAAAACAGAGCAGCTGCACTGTAAATGTGCCGAAAGCAAGTCTGGAAATACAATAAACCGGTGCAGCTCAGTCTCTGACTGGAAGCACTGATTCGTCATTCGGCTTTTGTCAGACTAAAGTAACTGTTAAAACTGTTTGAAAAGCTCAGCTATACAACAAGGAGAGATTGAGAATTTCCTTTTAGTTCTCAGTTTATTTGATATTGACAAAAGTTAGTCAGTTTTGTCTGTTCTTCTGTAAAACAAACTAAGATTTATTTTTAGAATTAATATTTTGTTTCTAAGTGGAATTGACAATTTAGTCTGTTTCGTTTGTTCTATTTTGAAACTTAAACGCTTTAGCGGCTGCCTTTTGTGTAGTTTGCTATATTTGCCTTTATTTATCTGAAAAAGTCTCATGTTCCTTAAGTACATCTACCCTGTTGAACTTATTATGGGAAATAAATATTTAAATAAAAACAAGCTGCTGATTATTTCACATTTTACTTGTGAGCAACGGCACATTTAAATCTTACAAATATAGTTATTTGGCTGATATCGTGATAGATATCGTTATCGCCTGAAATGAAAAAAACATATCGTGATATGAAAAAATCGTATATCGCCCAGCTCTACATGCAAGTCAGAAAGGCTGCAACATAACAGGCTTGAATGTACGTCATAGCTATGCTCCTCCCATGTTGTGTAAGGCTGACCAGTGAAACACACTGGAGGTATTTTCCTGTTACACGGTGGGACTCACACCATTTGGTTTAGAACTGATGAAGCTTCACGGATGAAACTTAAAGAAGTGTGTCGCTTTCTTTCCAGCTGCTTAGACCAACATGTGTCTGCGCAGACTCTCGGTCATCCAGAGAGTCTGCGCAGACACATTCATATTAGATTACTTTCACTGCTGATGTTGTTGGTGCATTCATATAGACCATCAGAAAACACGATAACAGTGCTTTGAGACACGCCTGTGTGTGGTGTCATTTCCACATGTTTGAAGCAGCACAGACTTTACTAATCTTACTCATGGAAAACGTCTGCTGTGTTTATCTTGGGAATCGTCCTGATGTTCAGGAATTTGGGGTCATAATTATGTAAAAATCAGTATGTCAGTGGGAAACTAAGCTGTGCACATTAATGCTGCTGATGTGTGCATCTTACATTGGTGTGTGTCCATTGAACTGTGTCAGCCTGACTAAGGGAGGTTTTTGTACTACGCTGTTACGCTGTGTGAACACGTCTTGATTGTTCCACCATACGACGCTCTGACAGTAATAAACTCCTGAATCTTCAGCCTGGACTCCTCTGATGCTCAGAGTGTAGACAGTACCAGATCCACTTCCACTGAAACGATCTGAAACTCCAGACTGACGAGATGTAGCTTGATAAATCAGGAGTTTAGGAGCTTTGCCAGGTTTCTGGAGGTACCAGGAAAGCAGGTTTTTCTTATAGTAATTACTGTAAACACTTGTACTGGTTCTACATGTGATGGAGACAGACTGCCCTGCAACCACAGACTGAGCTCCAGGAGACTGAGTCACGATGATTTGTCCTGATGAACCTGGAAAAGAGGGAAAAGAGGAGAAGGGTTACTGAGACAAATCCAGCGTGGAGAAAGATGATCAGCATCCAAACAGAAGATGGAGAACAGATGGAAGAAGGTCACTGCTGCTGGTTTCAGTGTTCACGCTGAAGCCACGCGCTCACAGAGAGTCTCACCCTGAACAAGGAGCCCCAGGGTGGCCAGCAGTAGAGTCAGTGACATCATCATTGTGCTGCCGGCGTGTCAGTGTCTCTGAAAGGCCTGGACAGACACTGATCAACACTGGCCTCTTAAGGGCTGTGAGCAGAGGCAGGACACGTATGCAAACACACAGAGTCAGTCAGCTGGAGCCGTCCTCAGCACATCACCACCTTTCCTTCTCACTCGTGGCTCTACTCGCTGCACGCTCGTTTATATAAAGTCCACAGTCTTCTCAGGATCGTCTACAAATCAAATGTATTTAATCGAATGGATGTAAAGTTTGTTTTAATACTTCAAGTCAACCCATCTGAGGGAAATCTGTTTTAGAAATGTTATTTAAGTAACCAGGAGTTATCCTGACAGAAACGGAATAAGTTCATAAAGTAAAATAAAATCCTACTGTACCAAGCTGAGGTCAGGCTGCTGTGCTTTACTGACACTCAGTGGTGAGACCAGCAACAGTTCAAACATCACCTTTCATTTGCTTTAATTATGAGCTCTCATTAGTTGGAAGCATTAAAGATGTATCTCTACAGAGCCGCCAGCAACATTTCTTTTTCCTGTTTAGTTGACTTCATGGCCACAATGAGTGGATGGAAACTGCTCACAGCTGCGTCTTTGTCTTGTCACTGCTGTGTTTAATCAGGTGGAAACTTTCAACTTCATGAACATGAAGCCCCACAGGCCCACAGCCTGTTTTCACTTCCCACTGTTAGAGTTCACAGGAGACTCAGAGAACACATCCAGACTGAAACACGCTGAACATGAGTTAATTCTTTCTCCTTAATCGAATTCCCCATTTTAAATATCACCATTTGTTTTTTTAACCCACCATCTTCATTCATCTGGACCTGAACCTTACTTTAACTCATCTACACTTTGTAGAGGTAGAGCAGCGGTGGCAGTTTGCCCAGGTGAACTGCTGTTTCAGAATAGCTGGTGTTTAGGATTGACTGGTGTTTCAGAATAGGGCTTTGGAGTTGATGTCACACCGCAGTGGATTGTGGGAGCGCAGCACCTTTTTAGCAGGCTACGAATCCAAACAAACACACTGTGTTAGAAGGAAGATTGTGACCAACCACACTTACAAGCAGCTCAAAAGAAAAAGGATGTTATAGAGACAGGTTGCGTCCGGATGCAAAGAGATGGTACTTGCAAAAAATAGCGTGCACTGGAAAAGTGGACCCGTGTGAAATAACGGCCGTGGAGTAGAAACCCTGAAGACCAAGTGCTATTGACTTAGACTGATATCTTCTCGTACGTTGTCTGTGGAGTCAGCGCATACACGTTGAACAAATTTGGCAATTATAAATGTCTGGAGGCGCACATCCACCAAGGATCGGTACAAGATTTGGCTTTTTTTAAGCCTCCATGTTGTGAATTCGCCGTCATTCAAACAAAGGTAAGTCAGCTCGAGTACTGCGAGTAAAATGCGTTTGATTCCCCCCGAACATTCAGATTAGTGCAGCATAAATTCATTCATGAGGGGAAACTACAGTGAGAACATCGATTAATGACCTGCAGAATCTCCTTATCATATTAAGTGATTCATAAAAGTCGAACTTTATGCTTTCTTCCTCTTGAAAGCGATGACATCCTTGCATTACATACTTTAGGTTCATTTTTTGCTGGCAGATTAAAAAAAACAAACAGGCAGATTTAGAATACAACATGCAGCGTTGTATAGATGGACACATAAAAAGATAAAAAAATCACATGTAAACACTTTGTTACATTTATGATAAATGGATTTGAAAGTACGGTGGCACGGCAGCACGGTGGTTAGCACTGTTGCCGCACAGCAAGAAGGTCCTGAGTTCAGTTCCACCATCAGGCCGGGGTCTTTCTGTGTGGAGTTTGCATGTTCTCCTCGTGTTTGCGTGGGTTCCCTCCGGGTACTCCGGCTTCCTCCCACCGTCCAAAGACATGCAGCTTGAGGGGATAGGTTAATTGGTTAATCCAAATTGCCACTAGGTGTGAATGTGCGAATGAATGTGAGTGTGAATGGTTGTCTGTCCCTGTGTGTTGGCCCTGCGACGGACTGGCGACCTGTCCAGGGTGTACCCCGCCTCTTGCCCTATGACAGCTGGGATAGGCTCCAGCGCCCCCCGCGACCCTGAAAAGGATAAGCGGAAGCGAATGGATGGATGGATTTGAAAGTAGATAAACACATTTGTGTCGGCCTTGGCTCATAGTTCTTGTCTTTAAATGAACTTTGTCTGTGTGTGTTACTGCACTCTCAAAGACTAAATGAACCAGCATTGCAGCCATGGGTCACTGTGAGCATCACAGGGAAGGTTGAAGCCGCCCGCTGCACCTGTAAGGCCGGAGTCACAGAGACCTGCAGCCATGTCGCTGCTCTTCTGTTTAATGTAAAAGCAACAGTGAGGATCTGTGGCACAAGGACTGTTACAGATGAACCTGCATACTGGGTTTTGCCTGGTAATATGACCAAGATACAGCCAGAGGTTGGCCATAAGATAGACTTCTCCTCTTCAGCTGCCCAAAAAAAGGCTCTCGATTAAAACATAAACAGACCATCTGTAGTGACAGGGAAAAGAAAAGATTCCACCTGCTACTGTGGAGGAGTTGGATCAACTGATGGGAAAATATTTCTCCAAGCATAGTTCTGTTCTGAATAACCCATAATGTTTTAATTTAGGGGGGCATGTAAATAATTTGCATTTACTGAATATGTACTTACTAAGTACCACAGTTCAAAAGTTGAATAAAGAGATAAATGTTTGCCTATTTTAATTAAAACCACTTTGTAGAACATCAGTTACATTGTAGAATCAATGTCATGTATTGTTTACAAATGACAAAATGTTTACATAAAATCATGACAGCATTTATATAATATCACCCACTACTAGCATTCTGTAATTTACTGTCTGTCTCTTTTGAAAATGTATCACTACATATACAGCACAAGACTTCTAAGAGTATTTAACAAGAGTATTTTCCCCTGGTTTTACTACCACACTGGGGCACATGTTCACCAAAATGCAGCAAACCTTCACCATCTTATCCAGAAGGGTCACCTTTTCATCCTCACATGGAAGAAGTAATCTGATTGGCATGGTGGTGTGTAGCATGTGGTTTGAAGCAGGGATTTCGTAGTGCCCCATGTGTAGCGTTGGAACCCAGTCAGGATTTGTTTCATCCATTTCATAGGCTGGTTTGCTGCAATAATGAAAAACAATTAGCAACTAATATGCTATAAAGAGTGATATGAACTTATTTAGAACTTAACTGAATGAAAACGTCTGGAGCACCAACAGATATCTGTGGATGGTAGAGAACTGGATATCAGCTCGTCTCACAGCTGCTATCCAGGCTAGATGTTATCAGATGTATCAGATGTATCAGATGTTACCAAACGCCTTCGTTTGGTAACATCTGATACACGAGCTCCCTCACGTTGCTTCCAGGTGGGGAAAGAATAAAAACAGAGCCCATTTTCCAGCTTATTCCCTTCCCGATCGTGCGATCTAACGACCAACACAGCAAGGACAAACCATTGCTGATGCTTTGCTCCTTTGTTTGGCCTGCTAAAATGGCACCTCGGCGGTCACGCCCCCTCCCGTGACATCACGCTTCGAAGCCCTATAAACAGCGTTGGTCAAACAGATGTACGTAGACTTGCTTTTCAGGAAAACCAGGCAGTCAGTGTTTGGTGTCTGCTGAGACAAAGCAGGAGAGTCAGAACGACATTTGTGTTTCTGGGTGTAAAAGCTCCACCTGAGCTCTGAGAGCTGCCCACCGGCAGAGATCGAACATCTGCAGCTGTTCATGAACCGGACTGACGGCGGTGGACGACAAGTTTTTATCTTGATAAGAAGATGTATGAAGGGGTTACATATACTAGAAAGAAGCTGTTTTTGACTGTGCATCATTGAGCCCAGTGTAAAGAGCTGTGATCTTGTATTTGTGACAACTGCCCTCTTGGCCTGATCTCTCCTGGAAACCATAGCATCTACTTCGTGATACGAATGCTCTTTCTGGCTGAAAAGAAAATCTTCACGAGCGATATGGTTGATCTTTTTCTGACAGATTATAGGTCAACAAGTAATTTAGCACAGTTTAAATTCCCACAATCATTCTTCAACAAGGAGGCAAGGATTTGGTCAGCAGGTTGGTGTGCGCCTGCTGTCGGAGTGCTGGAGTCCCAGAGGTGACCTGCTGAGGCGGGGCCTGGATGGAAACATCATGCATACATGGCCACGTGGTCATCCTGAGTAAGACATGGGTTATGGTCTCATCAGAGTTACAAAGCATGAAGGTCTGCTTTGGGTTCGCTGCCTACGAGGAAAGAAAGATCAGGGAATTCAGGGTTACATCGTGATATGAACTCAAGTTTCCTTTAATTACAGCAGATTTCTCAATGAATTTCATTTCAAATAAGGTTAAAATGAGAAAAAGAAGGATTTGGTGAGAAATCATTTCGAGTGAGACAATAAATCTACATGATTTCCACATCGTAACAACGCCACTTTATCTCAGGAGGCGTGGCTACAGAGGAGGTTCAACATATCCAGGCTTGCTCTGCGTTAGCTGGATCAGTGAATCCTACAAGCCCAGTCAGAGATAACAGCCATGGCAGGGAGGTTATCTGATGAACCGGGCTCTCTGCTGCAGGCTCTGAGCGCGCTCAGTGCTGCTGTTTGTTTCTAAGGAGACAGCTGGATCCATGGAAACATGAACGCTTCCTGTCCCACAGCCTGAGACGTGAAATCAGAGCAGAGGAAATGAATGTGATGAAAGTTTGAGTTACAGGTGTATATATGTATACACCTGTAACCACGTGACTCTCCGGGGGAGGAGAGGCCAGGTAAAAAGGGGCAGGGAGGGATGAATACTTAATTGATAATTTCAAAATAAAAGCAGGTTAAAGTGGCTCACATGCACAGAGAGGCCTGAAGTCAGCAGCTGAAGGAAGAGGAAATCCTAGGAGCTCTCACAGCCGTCATCATGGCAGCGCTGACATCTGAACGTGTTCGTGACCTGACCCACGGGAACACGCACGTTTGATGCTCTGCAGGAACACCCGATCAGATTCTGGATCGGAAACATCGCTGTGAGCACGGATGGGATTCAGTTCGATTCCTTATCGAGGTCTCTTTGTTGTGATCAGTGTTGGTTGATTACATTCAGTACGATACATCAATTACAATATTACACAGAACACTTTATTAAAACGAATGCAGCACGTTACTTATTAGGTACAGACATCAGTCATACTACTCGTTATGTTACTTTCACGTTACTCTGTAAAATGACGTGAGAGCCAACATTTAAAAATATAAACCTGAGGCTCCAGCGCCACACCCCAGCACAGATCGCGTCCTGATGAGGACACGCCGGACCTTTGTCTTAAACCAGCACAAAGAGACTTTAAAGAGGTGGTCTGAAGTTTTACTGTAGCTCAGGTTTGCTCCTTTGATTCAAACCAGCAAAAATGAAGGCAGGAAACTGCAGTTCATCATCCTCATCATCATCCAGGTAATCCCACGATTCGACAGTGAAAAAAGAAAAGTGCTGAATGATTTGAGCTGACTGTGCTGAGAGCTGCTGAGTCCACTGCCTTTAAAATCTGCTTTTCTTTCACTGTCTTTACATTTATCAAAGCCTTCCTCTCTTTAATATTACCTCACGAAACCCAAGGTAAGAAGACCTGCTACCTTTACACCAGCAGATGGCAGCACAGCACCTCCACGACGCCTGGACCTGGAGGCGGGCTCTTACTGGAAGGATAAAGCGAAGTCATCAGAGGTGTGCAGGATGGTTTTCCTGTTCGGATCCTCAGACGGGGTTCAGACTTTCAGCTTGTCAGCGTTTATGTCCTTCGTTTTATTTAACGGTTATTTTATTGTGGTCATCGAACAGCGCGCCGTGCACCGTTTGAATTTCACAGCTGATGGTGCTGTTCGACTGACCGCAGCAGTAGGTGATCAGCAGTGATCCAGGACATCGTCACAGTGCCATTACTCCTCCAAGCACCTCTGCAAACAGCTACAACAAACCACCTGACAGCCGGTTTGAGTCCTCACGCCGTCTCAGGGTCATCGCATCGAGGATCACTGAAGCTGCATTCGGGACACGTAAAACACCCAAAACTGAAAGCAGGAAGTCCTTCATACAGTCAGATGATGTTTGTCTCCAGAGCTGTGAGAAACTCATTCATATGCTTTTAATTAATTTGGCAGAATTGAAATGAACCAGACGACACCGCAGAATATCAAACACACCGCTCACTTAAACCATCTGCTGCTGGAGAACACTTCCTTTTCCCCAGTTTTAGGAACTTTGTCAAGGACATCTTTATCCTCGGCAGGACCAAAGATATCTCAGACTGGAGACTGAAACACTGAGAGGATAAAAGACCTCAGAACCAGAACACTGACCTGCTTTAAATATCCATGCAAAGCTTACTGTAGTCATCACAGTTCATCAACCCAACTGACTGAGAATAAAACATTAAACAGTTCAGGTCCTGCTGTGCTCTGTTCCAGGGAGCGCTGCAAGAAAAAGCCTTGGCCAGGTTGTGCACTCAGGAACAGGGCCTGTAATAACGCCTGTGGTTACTGCTCTGTAAACAAAACACACCAATGCAACAGTCTGTGTGTGGACAGTGAACCAAAGAGTTAAGTACCTATATATTTACAGCAGGACATCCTCCTCAGTGATGAAGGAACCAATAATCCTTGGTCCACTCTTGAACTTTGAACCCTAATGAAGACGATGCATTTAAGGTCCCCACAAACCTCACTGGGCTGTTTGCTGTGTCCCTCAATTCAGCACATCAACCACCAGGAAGTGTTCTGACTTATAATATCTGTGTTTCAGCACAGTTTCCTGTGGGTGGACAACAAACTGGACTGGTCATGCAACACGCAGCACCGGTATAAAAAAGGCCAAAGCCGACTGTACTTCCTCAGGAGGCTGAGGTCTTTTAACATCTGCAGGAAGCTCCTGAGGATGTTTTACCAGTCGGTGGTTGCTGGAGTACTTTTCTATGCTGTGGTGTGCTGGGGGAGCAGCACAGCAAAGAAGGACTCATCCAGGCTGGAGAAACTGATCAGGAGGGCTAGCTCTGTGGTCGGCATGAAGCTGGACACTCTGGTGACAGTGGCAGAGAAAAGGACCTTAAAGAAACTGATGGACATTATGAACAATGCCGGGCATCCCACCCGAGGGATTAATAAAGTTTCATCTAATCTAATCTAATCTAATCTAATCTAATCTAATCTAATCTAATCACCCATCCTTTCAGAATAAGAGTCCACACAAAGAAGAATCACTCTGCTGCCAGTACTATTCCACAGTAGCCTTTATTTACACCGTCATCCACATTGTTAATTAATAGCAGTAAGGTAAACATAATAGTGTGTGACATTATTACATTGTCATTTCAGCGTAGCCCACCGGGTGGCGCTGTGAGTCCACAGCGTCTCTGCTCCTCTCAGCACTTCAGAGGACGAGAACCACGAAACGAATAAACAAAATCATTTTCAAGGTTACAAGTGCATCTCATACAAAACCTTTATAAAATACGCCAAAGTCTTTATGCTCTGCGGCGCCCCCTAGCAGCACCCAGTGGAAACATTCATAAAGGACCTTTGAAGATTGAAGAGTTCAGCACTGCTCACAGACTCTGAGGTGGTGTTTGTGCTGTGTGAAGGTTGGAGTGGCTCGCCGCAGGTCTAAAGGAGCGTTCAGCCAATTATCTACGGCACGTTAGCAGGACCACGGATTTGTTACCAACTGAACCAGAACCAGAACTCTGAGCAAAACATTAAAGCAGCATTTTCATCTGAAGGAAAATTCAAATACAAAAAGCTCGATGTGACACTTTGGTGTTTATACGCAGCCCTCCCTGTTTTCCATTAATCAGTGTTTTACCTTTTCCACCGATTGGACGAATGCGAAAGGCAAAAAAGTTGTTTTAGTTTCCGAGGCGACGCGTTCAGGCGTGTCTGTGGTTCAAACAGCCGTCGCTCTGTTTAAGATATTCAGCTGACAGAGAGAGAAACAGACACAATTTGGCTTATTGTTTATTAATAATAATAATAATGCGTATCGACAGGTTTGCTCTGTCGGCACAGAGCCATGAGGAAGGACAGTTCTATTCTATTTTGTATTATTTCTAACAATCCAGACCTGAAAACTCTCCATGTTGGTGCGTTTAAGGACAGTCTGAGTGTTTGACTGAACCTTGTTCGTCATCTTTTTCCTGACGTGTACGTTAGCTGTCACGGCTGGATGACACCTCTCAGATATCCTCTCCAAAGCAGTGCCTGGAGAAACGCTCGGTGTCTAACGGGTCGGTGTTCACAGAGGTGCGTCTGCAGTGATGCCACAAACGCCCGAATCTTCCCGTTCGGCTCGTTTTTAAACGCCGTTTCTTTTTCTGCAGAATCCCCTGCTGAGAGCAGAGGGTGGGATTGGCAGTAAATTTAGCCTCCGAGTCCTGCGGCAGCCTCCTTCAGTGACCACAGCAGCTGTAATCTGCAGTGACTACAGTATTTCAAACTGTTTGAATCAGGCGAGATGAAAGAGGATGATGTAAGCGCCTCAAACGCTGTGGCATGAATCCCTGTACAGTGAGCAGCAACCATCGCGCTTTGGCCTCTTTTATTTAACCTCAACAAACGCATCACGCACCGCGGCTCGCTCTCGGCTGCGTGTTGCATCGTGTTGGTGCAGAGCTCGTCCTCCGCTGTGGACCGCGGGGAGAAGTCACGTCTGCAGGACGCGACAGTCAGTTCGCTCAGACGACTACACGTCACAGCCGCGTGTTCTGCATTCAAGCCTACGTCTCAAACTTGTGCTGGTTAGTACGACTGCCTGATGTACCCCGGCGCTGTCCCTAAACAGCCAGGCGGGCCAGAAACCCTCAAACTATTTGGGCATAAATGAGATAAAGTAGTAGCAGCGCCACGCCAAAGCTCGAATGACTGGATTTGAAAGTTGATGCCAGCTGTTTTTGGACATGTGACGAGATTACTGGTGTTTGTATCTGAAACTCTTCGTGTTTTATGGTCTGAACGAGCAGGCGCAGAGGTCCTGAATCATCTCTTTTACATTTATTGCTTCGTTTAGCGGCGCTGCCCGTGCGGCTCACTGGTGGCGCTCTGAGTGTTTGTGCCTCAGTGTAGTTAAAGAGCTGCAGCTTTAGGGTTTGTGACATGAAGCAGGTGTTCAGCACCCAAGTCAGAAACTGAATCCGTCTGTGGACAATGATGCTAACAGACCTGAAAGTGCATCCAGGTGCATCCACGCTGAGGCAACACGGAGAGCCGGCGTCACGTCACCCGCTGGTCTGCAGGGTCCGCTCTGCGGTCTCACCTGTGTTGCCTGAGCCCGGCGGCGGAAACAGAACCCGGCAGAGCCGCTAACAAACACCGAGGTAAAGACAAAGCAGCTGATCCACTGTTCTTCAGCTGGGAGGAAACCCTCCCAGCAGACCTTCACCCAAATTACCACCAACAGAATCCTCACGTTCCCACTGCCTGCTGGGAAATGTAGTTTTTAATGAAGGTGCAGAGTGAGACTGAAGTCCGACTGAAATGTCTCCGCCACGGCAGACAACAGGCCACGCCCCCTCTCCCAGACTCTGGGCTCTGGGCATGCCTGCACACATTTTCACATTTCAAAGGTTTAACAGGTACCTGAACGCATCACCAGCCTCGAGCGGGGTTACAGAGCATAGCTGAGGTGACGAGTCTGCCTCTGCTCCGCCCTCGTGGGCGCCGGACACCCTGGGAGGTCAGTGGGAGCATGAGCGTGGCAGTAATTTGGGTGAAACACCAATTTAAGAGCAAACTTTGTTAAAGTTTCCACAGTGTGCGCTCAGCTGGTGAAGAGAAAACACGCCCCCTTCAGACGAGTGCAGGGCCTGAAACGACCCGCGGGGGTCTGGGTGTGACGCTCAGCAGGCGTTAATGCAAGAGGGTCGTTGTAGTGATGTGGAGACGGTTATCACACCTGCTGGGCGACCTGCAGATACCAATATGGTATAAAAGACCGAGGTGGTCTGTCCTCAGAGTGCTGCTGAAAACACAAGTCTGCGCCCCCCACGGGGACGGGAGCCGCCCCTGCTGCGGGGTTCAGGTTTGCTGACGATCCTGGCGAATGAAATCCGGGCCCGACGACAGGATGTCGCATCAAAGTGCTCCGAAGAAAACTGCATTAATCTGGAATTCTGTGGCCACCTCGAGCCGCCTTTGGAATGTTTAGTAGTTCGTGCTGGTTTCGAGCCCCGCCCCTTTCAATGAGCCAGAGATGCTCGAGTGGCGACGGACGGCGTCCTCTCAGCGGCGGGGCAGCAAGCACGGCTGAGGGGTGGTAACGAGGAGCGATGGGGACAAAAAGCTCTGGGTCTCTTTTGTGTCTCCAGCCCATCGGCGCTCTCCTCTCATCCTCTCTCACCAGCCCGGCAGGCGTCTAAGGACAGCAGCGGCCATGTCGGCGCGGTGCCCGGCAGCCTCAGTAGTTGTACTTTCCCGCCTCTGCGCCCGGTGACGTGGCTGTGTTTGGCAGGAAGAGCGGTTTAGGAGGGATCTGGGGTTTGAGCGACACCGTTCTCCGGACGACGGCTGCCCGCTGGGCGTGCGGCCCCTCGCTGTAGCTGTGTTGCCGTGTGAGGCAGGCGCTGGCCACCGACGGCTGCTTGCTGTTGGCGGGGGTGGGGCCACCGCTGTTGTTGCTGCTGTTGTTAGTGTTCATCCTGGCGAGGAAGTGAGCATGCTGCGGCCCTCGCTGGTTGAAGCTGTGGTGGCGGGGCACGGCGCCACTCCCGCTGCCCATCCTGATGAGGGAGTGACGCTGAGAGTGGTGGCGCGTCACGGAGACGCCGCCGCCTCCTCCAGGTCGTTCTGGAATCACTTGCTGCTGGAGCGGAGTGGAGGACGAGGAGGAGGAGGATGAGGGGATGGAGGTGGAGGAGGTGGGGTTGTTTGAGGATGAGGAGGATGAAGATGAGGAGGAGGTGGTGTTCTGAGGAGGAGGGTCGATGCGTTTGGGGAGGCCGTCGCTCGGCAGCGCGGAGGTGCTGTGGTAGGACGCGGCCTCATTCTGTTGCTGGTGATGGTTGCTATGGTGATGGCCGTGGTTGTAGTGGTGCGTGCGCGTCTGTGCGTGGTGGTGATGGTGGCTGTGATGGTGCCCTGCGGTGGAGCCGGACGACCCGGGGAACAGCGAGGAAGAGGAGGTAGAGGTCAGGACCTTGATGCCGCCGGTTCCCGACGCGCTGACCTCGTGGATGTGTTTGAGCAGCTCGTCCAGCGCCGACACGTCCACCACCGTCTGGGGGAGGGACTGCTGGGAGTGGTGGTGATGCGGGACTCCTCCCCCTCCCACCGCCGCCGCCCGCTCATCATTGGAGATCTTTCTCTCCTCTGGGAGGTGCAGAGAGGTCGAAGAGGCGCCGACCCCCTGGGGCGTCCCATTGCTTAAACTGTTGCCATGGTGATGAGGGAAGGGAAACACCTGCTGGTTTATGGAGTTCCCGACGACGGCCATGAATCCCAGACTGGAGGCGGAGCAGCTGGGCTTGTCTCTGGCGTTGTTGCAGTTCTGGTTCTTCTCGTACTGATGGTGTCGCAGCGCCTTCATGTTCTTGATGGGAAGCTCCGGGGTGGAGTCGGGCGTGGGCAGGCCGGAGAGCTCGCCATCCCCCTGTGACAGAGACTAAACAGAGGTCAGAGGTTAGACGCGGCCGTTGCGTCAGTACGAACGTCGAGATTAAAAGTTCTACCTGAAAACCTCAGAATGAGCTTTAGCGCTCACGTCACGCTGCGTGCTGACAGGAGAGGGCGCTGTGTGCAAAGCTTTAAGCACTTATGTGTTAAACCCAGCTGAGTTACATCAGTGTCTGAGAGCCGCATGTGTGCAGCAACCTCGGTGGAAACTTTATGCAGAAGCAGACACGTCTCCGGCGAGTCGGACCGCAGCCGGAGCGTCGTGCTCCATGGGTGATGCTCCGGCTGCGGTCTGGCTCAGCGGAGATCGGCATCGTCCACAGGAAGGGAGACTGGGTGAGAAGACCGGCCTGCAGCGAAATTTCAAAATAAAAGACATGTAACATCTTTAATGTTAGCATTAAATGGCTGCGGCGTGTAAATGTGATCGATTACACGTCCAAGGTGTGTGCCTGCAGTCCGCTCCATCCTCCATCGCTCACACTGACAAACTCTGATTGGACAGATTCGCTTCCTACCTGGGACAGGCTGAGCTCAGGGTCGCCCAGCGGGAGGCCCTGGTGCACGGGGCTGTGGAGGTGATGCTCGGCCCGGCCGTTGGGGATGAAGGAGCTGTACATCTTGGGGGTGGACACGTTCAGTTTGTCCTCCTGGAGGAAGAGAAGAAGAAGAAAAGCTGCGATCAGCTGTCGTTATCTTTGCCTGCCGTTTCATCTCTAAAGCACAGGATGACCCTTCAGTGGGAGGAGCCACAGAGAACAATGAGGAACTTGTATAAATATACATTTGAGCAGAGGGTCAGAGGTCAGCTCAGAGATTCAGTTTCCTGCTCAGGGACATGTGGACAGAGGATGGAGTTCCTAATGAAACGCTCGATAGTAATGAGCGAATAAAAGACTGAAGTGAGGCTTATTAAGTCTGACCCCGGGGGAGGAGGAGGGGCTGAATATTAACACGGCTGCCTCTCAGCTCGCAGACGTGTTTCAGCTGCAGGGCTCAGGTGAGCTCTGATGAATCCGTTTCCTCGTCTCGCTCACCTTGGGCTGTCCGTCCAGCAGCCCGTTGAGCTTGGCGAGGGATCGCAGCGACAGGGCGTGAGGCAGCGACGCCTCCGGGTCCTTCCCCAGCCTCCGAGCCCGGTGGGCGGCGCTGCCGCCGCAGTAGCATGACACCAGGAAACCCGACAAGATGGCGCCCAGGAAGAAGGCCACCAGCACGCAGGCGATCAGCAGCGTGTAATGCACGTTAGCACCGGCACGTTGGTCCATGTCCGGAGGGCGCCGCACGCCTGGAAGACACAGGAGAAGTCATGTTTCCACCTGAGCGCAACACCTGAAGTCTCCCTGACTTCTCCAGCACTAACAGTGTGTGTGTGTGTGTGTGTGTGTGTGTGTGTGTGTGTGTGTGTGTGTGTGTGTGTGTGTGAGTGTGTGTGTGTGTCACATGCAGCAAGTTCCTGCAGGCTGCTTTGGCTGAGTTTGATGAAGGGGAGCTTCGGGGGAGGGGGGGACAGATGGAGGAGAGGTGAGAGTAAGGTGAGGGGGGGCAGAGAGAGGGTGAGAGACAGAGACGAGGATTGGACTTAACGAGGAGGAGGAGGTTCACAGGTAAGGAAACAGGATGATGGGGGAGGAGAGGAAGAGCAGGGAAGGACGTTAGGAAGGTGAGATCTGAAGTGGGGGGGGATGAGGACGGAGATGAAAGAGAGCATCACTCAGCAGCGCCTCATCAGGTCCACACATCAGAGCCTATCAGCTACAGTGACTCATCAGTCTGTGCGCACACACACACACACACACACACACACACACACACACACACACACACACACACAGTCGTGTTTTCACGTCCTTGTGGGGACATCTCATTAACATAACCCTCCCCAGCTGTCTCCCTAACCATGAAATATGGACGCTAACATAACTGTTTCAAACTTGTGGGGACGATCACTTTGTCCCCATACGGGCTGCTGGTCCCCACAAAGATATGCAAACACGGTCGGTGCTGCACAGGTTTGTCTCACACGTGTGTTTGAAGTATGACGTGTTTCTGGTTCTGCACACATGTTTGTGATGTGTCGTGCTGTCTGCACTCATAAAATAAAGCATGTATACACGTAACTGTCACTTTTATGAACTTCCACTTCTCTCCAAAAACCCACCAGGGTCAGACAGAGTCGTATAAAGTACAGCGGCGGCTGAGGACTGGGGTAAAGTCATGCTCTTTCTGATGTTCGGGGAATGGTCCGCAGAACAAAAGGTGAGCGCCTCCATCAGTGCTGTCTCAACAGTAAAGATCCTGAGACGTTCATGTGTGGGCTGCTTCTCATCCACGGGAGTGGGCTCACTCACAATTTTGTCAAAAAACACAGCCATGAATAAAGAATGTGACCAAAACATCCTCCCACAGCACCTTCATCCAACCATCCAAGAACAGTTTGGCGAACAACACACAGCCTTTTCCAGCATCATGGAGCACAGTGGCCAATCCTCAAGAGGCAGGTGGACAAACAAAAGCCTGCTAATTGTGACAAACTCGGAGCATTGATTATGTAAGAATGGATCGCCATCAGTCAGGGTCTGGCCCAGACGTTGACTGACAGAGGTCTGGAAACAGAAGGGCCAACGCTGCAAATACTGACTCTTTGCGCGATGTAATTGTCAATAAAAGCCTTTGAAGCTTATGAAGCGCTGGTTTCATACTTTAATACATCACAGAAACATCAGACACAACGATGTGGAAACACTGAGGCAGCAAACTTTGTGGAAACGGATATTTGTGTCATTCCTGTGAGTCACAGCATGCACTCATGAAACTGCAGTAACCACACTCACCAGCAGAGGCCACTGTTCCACAAGCATGACCTGCTGGGTAATAGTAATGAATTAAAACGACTGCAACTCACCTTTGACCTGTGACACGTACATGACCTGGTGTCAGTGTGGAGAGAGCTGCTGTGCACCTGCTCCTGGTAATCTGATTACTGCCTTTGAACGTATCTACAGACAACTCAATCGGCCTGCACCGATCACAGGGAAAGCTCAATCCACGAGTCTGAAGGTCAAAGGTCAAGCTTCATCACGATGGTGGAGCGGTCTGTGTGAGATCAGGCTGGAAGCAGCGTCAGCGCGAAAAACAGGGGCAATGAAATATCAGAGGAAGGGCACAAACCCTCTAAATCATTCCGTTTTATTGGAGCGACATCTTGTGGCAGTCAGAGGAAGTGAGGTCATGTCAGACCTGATTCTTCCTGTTTTAAGTGACAGCGTTTTCTGCAGCAGTGTGCCTGATTAAACGCTTCCACAGATGAAAGCTGTGACTTTTGTTTGCCTCGGCCTGCGTTTCCTCCCGATCGAGCAGCGTGCTCCTGCTTCACATTCAGAGCGCCGCGCGCCGCAGACCGGCTGACTGACAGGTTGATTTATCTCGCGGACGCTCTCGGTGCTCGCTCCGAACGCCTTCAGCTGCTGACTGGTGGCAGGAAAGGTCTCCGAGGCTCAGGGATGATTTTACATGCTTCCACTTCAGCCTTTATTTGTTCTGCTGAAGCGAACGAAGCCGTCCTGTTCACGCGCTGATGGATCGTTTCAATAAAGCAGATGTTAGAGGGCGAATGGAAACCTGGCGGTAAACCTCTCTTTGTAGCAGGATCAGGAGGGAACGTTTTATTTCAAGGATGTATCAGGAGCGTTTAGGGGGAAACCCTCCGGAGTGCTGATGGAGTTTGACATGTGAGGAGCGGCTGAGGTTGAGCCGGATGGCTGTTTCTCTCAGCGATGTTTGGCCATGTAAACGTCTGACACACCAAACACAGTCACCTGACCAAGCATCTGAAAAATGATCCCGTTCACCTGTCGCAGCCCGCCGTGTGCAGTCAACGGGTCAGCTGCAGAGCGCCCTCTAGTGGACACTTGTAGCATTCTCTACCTCACTTTATGTTCATGCATCAGCTGTTATCAATGCTAACGCTGTGATATCGTCAAACAGCTGATATCTGTGGGTCTGCGTCACCCCTGTAATCCAGCACAGGTGTTATGATACTGAGCTGTTCACCTGGCCGTCGGCAGGTAAGCGTCCGACAGCAGCTGCAGTAAAAACGCATTTACGCTGGAACTAGCATGCAAGCTAGCTTGTTTCTGGGTCCCACCCATAGACTCCCACCTTAGCGCCTCATTACCAGGAGGTGAGGGTTTTCAGTGACGCCTGCTGCAGCTCGATGCATCACATTTAAGCGGCGTGCTGCTTTTCGGCGCCGCTCGCTCCCTCTTATTATTTCATAGCTCGTCTCAGTCGCTCAGAAGGAGCTGCTCATCCCCGAAAACCCGATCAAAGGGCCAAATATACCCCCAGAAACAAAAAGCTAATTTCACGCCCTGCACTGCTGGTCGTCAGGGGGGAGGGGTTTATTCCCATTCCCTGCTGGCGCAGGACTCGAACTGGCAACCATCTCTAACCTCAAAGCCAGCATCGCCCCGGGGCCTCCGAAGCTTCACTTTGATACGAGACACCGCGGAACAAATTTGTCTTTTATGCAAAATACTGTTGAAATAGAGCGAACAGTCATTACACGTCCAGCCAGGATTAACACACACACACACACACACACACACACACACACACACACACACACACACACACACACACACACACACACACACACACACACACACACACTCCCCTGTGTCTAACAGCCACGATTTCATGTTCGTTATTTGCACTCTTTCATCTCCGTCCTTCGCTCTGACAGATATAAATAGGATGATGGAGACGCACAGAGAAAAATATTATGCTAATTACAGCCCGACACAGAAGTGTTTCATTCTCTGCCCTCGCTCTTTGTTTCTGTCTCTCTCTGCTCCGTCACTTTCAAAGTTCCTCCCTCTCTGCTGTCAGCCTGGATTGGAAAAACAACTTTGTGGCGTGGCGGGTGAAATCTTCTGGGTGCAGTCTTCTCGCTTCTTCTGTCACTGTTTGCTCTTTTCTTTCACTCTGAAACTTCAGCTTTTCCCTCTCTGTGTCCTTTTATCTGTCTGCCTCATACGGCTTTATGCCTCCCTCCATCTCTCTCCATCTCTCTCCTCATACTCCTCTGCTCGCTCCTGTCTCCTCTTTGCAGCTCAGATCAATACACGAGCTCTTCCTGTCCCAGAAAATCAAGTGAAATCAATCAAACAAATGAGCCACTCTAAGCAGATTCAGCACGAAGCCATCGCACCCATGATTAAAAACACTTCTGTAAGGAAGAAGATTAACTGCACGACTGACGGCACGGCGACACGCAGACGGATGTGTGACCTGAGTGTGAGGACGTCAGAGCCAGGGGTGCATCGCTGTGGCGTACCGGCCGCCAAGAGAGGAAGTCTGGCTTTAGGGACGCGCAACACTGACACGCAGCGGCACCTCCACGTCTGAAACATCTGCACTGCAGCTGTCTCACCCCAGAGGGGGAGGTCCTAAGAGTCAGTGACCCACTCTGTCATCATGTGACTCAGTGAGGTCACACGGGCTGAAGACTGCGTTACAGGTGGATGTAAGGTGGTGTCAGAGGATGTAGCTGTAGCTTATGTGTTAAATGCTTTTGGATTTCACCAAAACACCCTTTTTCCTGCCTGTGTTTTCAGTCTGCGTGTGTGTGGGTGTGCACGGCGTGGTGACGTAGGCGTGTGCATGTGTGATCACAGCTCCTCCCAGCATGACCCTGAAAGTTTCCTGAGGCCATAAGTCCGAATATGACCGAACTGCTGCGTTTTGGCCCGTGTGATATCAGACTCGCTGGGTGTGAGTCACGTAGAGGGCCGAGTTCGCCAACTGAAGCTTTTCATGAGTTTTAGCTCAAGGATACAGCTGTAACGCTAGCATGCTAAGTTAGCCTGGTTGCTAGCGGCATGTTTTAGCTAACGTGCACTGTGTTGATTTATGACTATGCGGTGACAAAGACGGCAGATAAATGTCGTTTTAGACCTCTGAGAAAACAGCCGAGCCTCTGCTACTCTGATGGCTGACTGTGCTTCAGTGCAGACGCCTCGCACATCTGTCGCTCCTCCTCAGAAGGCGTGAGCGGCGGCTCTGAGGCCGAGGCGGACGAGCCAAACGCGGGAGTCAAGCTCCAGAAACTTCTGCCCTATTAGCATGCTCTCTCTCTGCCTCTGCTGCTCTCTCGCCCACTCATTCTCCATTGGTATTCACACTGAGCCAGACACCAGTGACAGAGGCTGAGGAGGAGGAGGGAGCAGCGAGGAGGGCGATGAAGGAGAGACAGAGCGAGCAATGACAGACATGGATTAAAGG